TTAAAATATATGTTTATCAAATAAAGTCTAATGTTACAACTAATCGGGGATCCCTTTAAAAAATGAATCCATATATTTTAACTTAATCACATAAAGTTTGATTTAATTATCACACAAATCATTATAAAGCTGTAAATGTGAGCCTTTGTATATTCTGGGTGGTTTTGTTTGCTGTTCCTGTAAAGGAAAGTCTAATAAAAAGTCATAAAATAATTTGGAAAGCTGCTGTGTTTCTCCTGTTGCTAAAAAGCTAAATATTAGCGTTTAGCAAGCTTGGCTAGAGTTTGCATTATTTTACACAGCAAATCTTCCACAGTTATAAGAGAAAAAAAAAAGAAAGCAAATCCTTACAACTCCAGGATGAGCACCACCTCTGAGCGGCTCTCGAACACGTCCTTCAGGTTGACGATGTTCGGATGTTTCAGAGCCTGCAGGATCTCCACCTCTCGCTCCACGCTGCTCCGCTCCAGGCCCAGGCGGCTGCAGGCCGATTTTCGGATCTTTAAGAACTTTCCCGCCCAACAAGTCCCCGATGTCTTTTCACGGACCTTTCGAACTTGACCAAAATGACCACTAGAATAAGGAGAGATATTTGATATTGTTAAACTTTAACATTCGACAACAGAAGTTTTTTCAGACATATTTAAATGTTTGGGTTTTTTGCACTCCTGTAATTTCCCACCTAAGGTGAAAATTTAAGAGTACAACAGCACATGTAGTTATTCTGAACCATCACTGATGTTATTATATTAGAGACAAGAACCACTTTAATCTAAAGGAGAAGTGAAAGTTTGTGTGATTTTAATTGCATTTACCAGCTGCAACAGAAAAGGAGCACAGTAAAATAGTAGTAAACGCGGTGACATCACAAACCATGATGTGACCATTATTTATGGAAACTAGCACCCAGAGCTACAACCTGATACAGTGCATCTTTCCTTTTATGGCTAATGCATACTGTGTATTGTCCCTGTTTAAATAAAAAGGTTTTAAAAATATTTAGAGATTTCACTTTTGTTTTCACTATTTTTTTCACTAATGTTTAACAGTTTATTGTTACATACATGCAAATGCTTTTTAATTGATATCATACTGGCAGTAAAGCCTTCAAACAATAAATTATATAAATAGTCAAACCAAGCATCCCCGTACCTTCCAAGGACTTCCTCGATCTCATACAGATCCTCCACATTTTCAGGCTTGAACACGGCCATGCTCTACTTCATACGGATCTTCCTCGTCCTCTTTTGGTCCACGGCTTTGGCTTCGGCACTCAAATCCGAGTTCCTTCTGTTCCTCCTGAGACAAACTCCACAGCTCAACCTGAACAAGTCAAAAGAAATAAAAGCGTCAGAAAAAAGTCGGTTTTTGTTTCAGATTCCAGCAGCAGATCAGGGAGGACAGAGACAGGCAGATGAGCTGCTCTTACATCCTCTTTTCATTTATTGTCTCCCTCCCCCTCGAAAGCACCGAAGCTTTTTATTGTGAGCAAACTAAACAAACAGATAGTGGTTATCATACAGTCAGCACGGAGGTGGAGGGCTGATGGTTTGGGCTCAGGAACTCCTCTGAGCAGAAGCTAATGTCTGAACTGAAAGGAATGAACTGAGGTATTTGGGTCAAAAAATCCTTTAGAACCATGTGAGACTGAATGAGGATCTACAAGCTGCTGGATCTGTACTGTATACTGTCTGATACTGTCTTCATAAAGTATCTGATCAGTTTCCCTCACTTGAAGTTACATTTGAGTCATTTTAGAACCTGGTGGACCAGATCCTGTTTTTTTGTCCCAATACGTAAAACCCTAGAACTGAAAAAGGTTTGACTTTCCTTTTCATGACATTTTCTTAGTTTCTTAGGCATTCCTGACAACCTCGTGACCATTAAAAACCATTCAACCCAGTTTTTTTAATAAAGAAGTGTTGTAAAGTGCTTTACTTTGTATAAAATCTCTTTTAGATGACAAGATGATCATTATGCAATGCTCTTCTTCATACTAAACTATTATGTCGGATAAGACATACAGTGGGTAAAATAAGTATTGAACACGTCACCATTTTTCTCAGTAAATATATTACTAGAGGTGCTAATGACATGAAATTTTCACCAGATG